GGGGGGGGGGTAGATTTATTGTAAAGGAGTGTTTCATGGCTGACGGAAGTCAGTAATATTTCGCCGACATCAAGATGTCAGACTTTTTTAGCGTCGTTTGCGCATCCAGTTGATTTCCTCTTCAAGTTATGTTCACAGTTCTTCGTGCGTGTTATTTGTTGTAAATCGACAGTAAAAGGATAATATTGATGATATCGATGTAAACCCCTGGAGGGTCTAAGATATCCAATATGAACTTCAAACCGGATGGTCGGTAAATAACGAAATAAACTCAGTGCATAGTTAGTAGACTTAAATAATTGGAAAGAAAAGCCGGAGGAAAATCAAGATAAAAAGAACGGTGCTGTAGTTTAGTTATGGAGCTCCCAAACAGAGCATAACGTTCCCTTTAGTTTTGACAAATATTGGCTAAATTGAATAAAATTATCCATTGACGATATAGTACAAATTGTTTGAAATTTCACTGAGCTCTGTGCACGGACTAATTCCCCCTGCCCTGCCCTCCCCTTCTACCTCCTGCCCCCTCCCCACCTCTCTAAGAAATAATAAGTAATCTAATGACCTATAGCAACAAAGATGTCTATTACCGGTTGTTCAAACCATTCGCTTCTTAAATTTATTGTAAATCCGGTGCGATAGGTTTTTTGCGTGCCATCTTGAAATTTCAGTCACCCTGAACTTTCAGCAAGTATCATAGTTAATGTGGAGGTTTGTTTCAATTGGCGAAGGTCCACTGCATTCATTGCCGTTGAACCGTCTGTTGCATTTTTCTTTAGAATCGTATACTTGAATGTTGCCTTTGCATGACTTTGAGGGCCGTATTGTCATGTAATTTATCAGGGAGCATTCCTGCTACGAAGAAAATCTATGAAAAAAAAAATAACATCGAAGAAAGCTAGCTCATCAAAAAACCTTTTCATTTGGTGACCAACATATGCACATCTATCGAGAAAGACAAAGTAAAATGAATCAAAGTGGCTGTGAGCCACTCAACTCAGAAAATGTAGTTTTCACTTTCAACATGCGAATTTTCATCACGGTTCTAATTTTTGTAGTTTATACATAAATTGAATTCACTTCCTCTTGTCTTTAATTTCTAGAAGTAAAAATCTCTTCAGTCACATACTATGCGTTCTCAAGTCTATCGATATCGTTTTGGGGCAGAAAACGGCCCGAGGTTTGAATTCCGATGCAAGTGGGAGAAAACTCAATAGTTGAAAATACGCACGAAGACAATGATTTCTGAACTTTTCCAGTTTTCAGAACTTTTAATGGTTAATCACGGGAGTAAAACAAAATAAACAGTTTCGAAGTAACTTTGTCATTTTTTTCCTATTTCAGATCGAAACAGATCAAAGCGCACCCCACCCCACCCCCCCTCCTTACCTGAGGGCAGATATAAAAACTGAATATAAGACTAATGCAGATCACTTCGCCATATTAAGTAAACAGCGTAAATAGAGCATGTTCAAGAGAGTATTCAAGCGTGTTTCTCTTTCTGATATTTCATTTATGATATGAGACATCGATTGCCAAAATCAAAGTTGATTCCCCATATATATTTCCGTTGCGACTATAAGTAATTTAGCTTTCCCCTCAGCATTATGTTTTCAGATAATTTAGTCTTTAACTTAGGTTTAATTTTGATTGACTCTGAGATTTAGGTACTAACGTCATCCCCGCATGAGCTCATTGACTATTCAGCTTTGATGAAAGGACTACTTGGATGCTGGTACTTCTAAAATCATGATCCGGGACACTGAATTCCATCCCGTGTAAGCGTCACCCAGTGTGTGTACATTGCACTTTCCTACCCAGAGTTCATTCCGAACCGAGCCCCGAGTGAGATTCTCGTAGAATCCCTCAAAGGAATGATGACGAANGTTCTCAAGTCTATCGATATCGTTTTGGGGCAGAAAACGGCCCGAGGTTGATTCAGATGCAGGTGGGAGAAAACTCAATAGTTGAAAATACGCACGAAGACAGTGATTTCTGAACTTTTCCAGTTTTCAGAACTTTTAATGGTTAATCACGGGAGTAAAACAAAATAAACAGTTTGTCATTAATTTTTTTCCTATTTCAGATCGAAACAGATCAAAGCGCACCCTACCCCACCCCCATCCTTACCTGAGCGCAGATATAAAAACTGAATATGACTAATGCAGATCACTTCGCCATATTAAGTAAACAGCGTAAATAGAGCATGTTCAAGAGAGTATTCAAGCGTGTTTCTCTTTCTGATATTTCATTTATGATATGAGACATCGATTGCCAAAATCAAAGTTGATTCCCCATATATATTTCCGTTGCGACTATAAGTAATTTAGCTTTCCCCTCAGCATTATGTTTTCAGATAATTTAGTCTTTAACTTAGGTTTAATTTTGATTGACTCTGAGATTTAGGTACTAACGTCATCCCCGCATGAGCTCATTGACTATTCAGCTTTGATGAAAGGACTACTTGGATGCTGGTACTTCTAAAATCATGATCCGGGACACTGAATTCCATCCCGTGTAAGCGTCACCCAGTGTGTGTACATTGCACTTTCCTACCCAGAGTTCATTCCGAACCGAGCCCCGAGTGAGATTCTCGTAGAATCTCTCAAAGGAATGATGACGAAGAATGTTGGGAATTCCTCCAATTCCGTGAGTGAATCTGGTCTGGGGAATATACCCTTTAAAAGATCTTTCTCGGTTTTCAAACCTTACGTATCATGAAGATTCATATGTCAATGTGTCTCTGAACATTATCTGTCCTTGAGAACTTTTAGTATTTAGAGCTAATCTCTAGAAAAACTGAGCTTCTATATTCTGATATCTACAGGGCAATAGATTCTGTAGAACTGCTCCAGTTGTCTCGTTTTGTTGCTAAAAAGAGGCTGTTATTGATATGTCCCACGGTCAATATGAGGTTATTACCGGTTATTACCAAGGAAAGTCAAAGCTTCTTCCTTCTGAAGGTATCAGTGGATACTTAGTGTTCATCTCTTTCATGATCAGGTTCACCGTGAAGATATCTAACATCTGAAGTGTGAGCTTCCTTCCATTTGAAGGAAGCTAACCCCAAAATATTAACTTACTTGCATGCTCCAATTGAAAGTAATTATTCGGGCGCTAACCAGTGAATAGTGATTTAAGGGGTAACAAAGTTTGTTTTACTGCATAAACTGCACACATCTACTGGCAGGTGAATTCCAGCATGTAACCTTTCAATATGGGGTGGAACTATTTCAAGCTGTCTAATTTTTCCTTTATTATTTGCATTTTTTGTTATTAGTCGAACTATAGCATTTACAGGGAACAAAATGGTATCAAGAAAAGTGACAGAAGAAAAAGGGAAGAGCAAACTGTAGTTCTGTATCTGTTCAGTTCGCCTTTAAGATCCTTCTTTTGTGTCCTCCTTCTTCTCTTCAAGGGTGGTTCTCGGACATCT